CCGACCTTTAGGATGGAAAGTGAAGAAGACAGGCCTAGAGGCCCCTTCCCAGGGGGAAGCGGACACCGAGGCGTGCAGACCAGGGAGGAAACAAAGGCCGGAGAACAAGAGAGAGAAGGGAAACCGAGAAACAGCCCCTGCCTGAGGAAGCTGACGAAAGCTTTAGGCGTATGGTGGCGGGACTGCTTTCAGCTGGGGCTTCAGGGGGGAAGGGTGGCTGGGATGCGGAGAGAGTGCGTGTGCAGGCAGGCACATCTGGAAAGGTGACTCCGGAGGTGGGGGCGCGTGGGGGCGAGCCTCTCATCACAGGCCGTGGAATCAGGTCTACTCCCGGGGAGCCCGGGACAAGGCAGTCACCTCACCTCCCTGCACCGCAGTCCCCTCATTTGTAAACCGGAGCTAAGAACAGCCCCTCATAGAGCTGGTGTGAGGATTACTTTTTACAATGTATGCCAAGTGTCAGGACAGGGCCTGGGACCTAGTAAAGAGCCCGTGTCTGTTAGATATTATTTGTGGGTAAAGGATAGCAAACCCTAAAAATGCAAGGTCTAGGAGTTTGGTTTTGGCCATTCCCTAAGCTCTTTTTTTTTTTTTTTTGGTTAACAAAGATGGTCCCCCTCAGTAAAAGGAGGCCATTCCTTTTCCTCACGTCCTCTGGGGACAGGATCCCCATCTGCTGGGAATATGTCCTGTAGGTACTTGGGGAATAATTAGGAGCTCACTGTGCTCGGGGGCAGGGGGAGGAGACACCCCTGAGAAGCACTGTGGCCTTTTCTCCATAAGGGTCCAGCGTTAGAGAGCCACAGGTGGCATCCAGTCAGAGAGGACACGTGTGTGAGTCAGTCACCGATGTCCAGTACAGGGGCCCGTGCCAAGGCCATGTTCTGCGCTGTGACTGCATCGAGCCGGATATGATCATGGGAAGCAGGATGCTCACCACCCATAGGTGGCCTTCCCAGACTCTGCGAGCAAGCCAGTCCTGTTTACAAGCCTGAACTCTCCACGTAGACATTTATTTCCCACTGTCAGCCCTGTGGGGTCATTTCTGCTGTCATTTCTCTGCTTCAGGGAGACTGAGAGCTCAACCAGCCTCATCTTGGGAAAAGGGAGAGAGAAAGCCTCCGGGACCTGGAAAGTCAGAGTGGTGCTGGGCAGACATGGCCTCAGGCTCCCAGAAATGTGTGAAAAATTGGTTTGATGTCTTACTTATATTTCGTTGGTTCCTAACTTCCAAGAGAGCTAATGCTTTCTTATTACACATGCGTACAATGCAAGCAGTCAAAGCTCCAAGCTAATCGAGATGTGCGCAAAGGTAGGGAGTGAGCCCGTGAAAGGAGATGGGAGCAGTTGCCAGTGGGATGCACTGCTCAGCATTCCTAAGCCGTCCAGGCTGAGTCTCAGTGAGCTCATGCTCTGGATGGAGCAAAGATGATCTGCTTAGTGGCAGCAGCAATGATGAGACTGATAAAATAATATTACTCTGAAAATAGCTAATATTTCTCGAGAGCTTATTATGGGCCAGGCACTGTGCCATCAGTCTTATGTGGATTATTTTATTAAATCCACACAGTAACCCTGATGAGGTTGGTACTGTTTTCATTTCCATTTTACAAATGAGAAAACGGAAGACTGAAGAGGTCAGTAACTTGCCCAAGGCTGTTATGATGGGATCAGTTGTGTGCAGTGGGGTGGGGTGGGGGGTAAGGTGGAGGAAGGTACTGGAGGGAGGAGGG